AAGCCGGAAGTGGCGCTGTGGCTCAAGTGGTAGAGCGCTAGCCTTGAGCTGAAGAGCTGAGGGACAGCGCCCAGGCCCAGAGTTCAGGCCCCACGATAGACAAAAAAAAAAAGAAAGAAAGAAAAGAAAAGAAACTGAGGTAAGAATACAATACTCCACATAATGTCTTAAAGGCTGTGAAAACCACTCTCCACTTTCAAACCTATTTAAATCATAAAGTCCCTCCAGTAGTTCTTTTGGTGGATACAGGAGCCATACTCATAAAAACAGAGCTATGGAGAATCCTTTATCTTTTAAGCACCTTTAGAAATCTCGCATCAGTAAACCCTCAGCCAGGGCACTGGTGCATTTCTGTCCGGCAGTCTCCACTAGCCTAGGCACAGTGCACACAACCAGAAAGCACGCATCACGCATCCGGGCTCAGCGGCGGAGCCCAGGCCTCACATCCAGTTCCCTCACATCTGCCTATGGAGAGCTGGCAGCCAAATGGGGCTACCAGCAGCCACCGCCACACACCCATGAGCAACAGCCACCCAGGGGCCCGGAGCAGCTGGCGACACTGTGCTTACAAGGCAGCGTCAGCTGGTAGTGCATTCCTTACTCTTCCAGTCCACGTGAAACTGCAGGACCCATCAACCAGGTGCAGTCTGACTGTGCACCACCAGGCCCTGTTCCAGAAGAATTCCTATTTTATGGCTCACACAGTGTTTAATTCAATGGTTTCCTATTAAATGTCCAAGAGACCACTGCAGTATACTCAGGATCATTGTCATAATGATCTAATCCCAAATCTGCCATACTGGAAAGCTAGCACATTTTCTTGTTTCATCCCAAGGAGAAGTTTATTTCAAAGTTTTCAAAAACAAAAATTTGCCAACTATGGGCTAGGAATGTGGCTCAGTGGTAGAGCGCTTGCCTAGCATGCATGAAGTCCTGGGTTTGATTCCTTAGTACCACAGAAACAGAAAAAGCCAGAAGGGGTGCTGTGGCTCAAGTGATAGAGCGCTAGCCTTGAGTACAGAGGCTCAGGGACAGCGCCCAGGCCCTGAGTTCAAGCCCCAGGATTAGGGAAAAAAACTGCCAACTAGAGTTATTTTCCACACATGGGTGGCTGGATCCAAGACTGCATATGAAGTACAACGTCCCATTCTGCTGCACAACAAAAATGTAGCACTGCAATGGATAGCATAAAAGGCCGAGGGCAAAATTCAGCACCTTTTATGTGAAAAGCTCTTAAAGAAACCAGGAATGGGGGAATTCACCCGCATATTAATACAGGCTACATATACAGTCAACAACAACAGCCTCTCTCCACCCCTCTTCAGCATGCTAGAATCCCAGCCGCAGCACTCGGGAGAAGTAAGGGGCTCAAACAGGGAGGAAAAGGCCAAACTATCCTTATCTGCAGATTATAAATAAATCCTACACTCAACAGACTCTAAAGGCACCATGGAAAAAGCTTCTACATACGATACATACCTTAAGAAATGAAGCAAATATATATAGAAAGAGAAAGCAAAGAAAGGCCTGACATTGTCCAAGAAATGTACTAATTACCTGGCTTATGTACTTCACCATAACAACTAAAAATAATAATAATAACAACAACAATAATAAAATTGCAAGCCAGATGCCAGCTGCTCATGTTTATAATCCTGGCTACTTAGGCAGACTGAGATCTAAGAATCACGGTTCAAAGCCAGCCTGGTAGGCTGGGCAGGAACGTCTGTGAGACTCTGATCTCCAAGTAACCACCAGAAAACCAGAAGTGGCGCTGTGGCTCACGTGATAGAGCGCTCGCCTTGAGCTGAAGAGCTCAGGAACAGTGCCCAGGCCCAGAGTTCAAGCCCCAAGACCAAAAAAATAAATAAATAAAGTTCAAAGCCAGCCCAGACAGGAAAGTCTGTGAGACTTTTATCTCCAATTAAACACCAGAAAACCAAAAGTGGTGCTGTGGTTCAAAGAGGTAGAGTGCTAGCCTTCAGCCAAGGAGCTCAGGGGAAATGCCCAGGCATTGAGTTCAAGCCCCATGACCAACAATAGATAAATAGCAAAAAACAAAACAAAAAAACAAACCCACAGCAGGATATCATTAGCTTTTCTATACACCAATAACGAACAGGCTGAGAATGAAATCCGGAAAACAATTCCATTCACAATGGTCTCAAAAACAATGAGGTCCCTAGGTATGAATTTAACCAAGGAAGTGAAAGACGTCTATTTTGAAAACGACAAGACTCGAGGAATCCTTTGCAGACACCGTGGAGATTTTCACCATGAAATCCCCTTTCCTGTGTAACCAATGATTGTTAAAAAGGGCATAGTATCTTACATGCTTATACGCAAGGTATCACGGAAAAAGAAATGAACTTGATTTGCTAACATGTTGAGGCCAGGAAAAGACTCTAACAGCATTAGTGGTCCAGAAAAGCGTTCTTCTCAAAAGATAAAAAATGAAGTGCATTGTTGTATCAACCTCAGACTGTCAGTGTGTAGTGCAGAGCGGGGAAGAGCCCATGCTGTCTGGGCCGTGGAGAGGGAGGAGACCTGCCTGACTTTGGGCACCACCATGCGGTGCTGCACCATCAGCGTGTGGCAGATGGAGGCCATCCTGGTGAAGACTTCCTCACTGGCCGAGTCCCTCCACACTAGGTTCAACAGGGTGTTGGTCTGCTGCTTTGTGTCCAGCTTCTTCAGACACTCCTCAGTTATGTATGGGGTCGAGACCCTGCCGTCCTCCTAAAACACACCAGAAAACTAGTCTGAGCAAACAGTGCTCTGTTACAACCCTCCTGTACTCAACAAGCATGCCTCTTCCAGGGCTTACGTAAGGGTTACTTACATCCCAGCAGCTCTACCAGAGCCTGTCCTAACACGTCCACCAAGGGGGCCTGAACCCTCCCAGGTGCCTAGCAAGCTGCAAAGAAAGCCGTGTGCATGGCTGGCTGCCCGGTACAACCCACCCTTTCACCTCCATGGAAAGGACTATTGATCACTTCTGTAATTCTAGCTACTCAGGAGGCTGAGATCTGAGGATTCCAGTTTGAAGCTAGCCTAGGCGGACAAATCCGAGAGACTCCTATCTCTACTTAACCACCAAAAGACCAGAAGTGAAGCTCAAGAAGGATGACAGCCTTGAACGAAAAAGCCAAGCCAGTGCAGACACGGAGTTCAAACTCCAGTACCAGCGCACACAGGTACACACACAAAAAGACCCCTGACATTTAGCAACCTATGATAACCATGCCTCAAGTCATTCCAAATAATTGAAAAAGGTCAACAACAGTATCTCTTTAGCAAAACACATAAATTGATGTGCACATAACTGCAAGGGCTCTTTAAATTCCTTGAGGTGTGCAGTAAACGCCTAACATTAAGAAATGAGGAGCTGAGCAGAAGCACCTGCCAAACATGTGCAAGGCCGTGGGTTCAATCCCAGCACTGCAGAGAAAAAACAGAAAAAAGGGAGGTGCACTTAAGGATAGTTTGAGGATGTATTTCGAAGTAAATTTTAACGTTCAGCTTCTGTAAAAGTAGAAGAAACTGCGGGGGAAGCCTGTAATCCAGCTACCAAGGAGGTAGCCATCCGCAAGGTCAGAGATTGAGGATGGCCCCCCAAAAAAAGTCAGTGAGGCCCCTCTCATCTCACAAAAAGCTAAGTGTGGTGGGTCATACCTGTAATCCCAGCTATGCAGGAGACATAGGTGGGAGCATTGTGGTCCAAGGCTGGCCCCAGGCCTATCTGAAAAATATTGACAGAAAAAAAGGACTAGGGTCTGGCTTAAGTGGTAGAGCACTTGCTTCCTGTGAGATGCGGAGTGTGAACTATAGCACCATCAAAGAGAGAGGGAGAGGGAGGGAGGGAAAGGGGAGGGAGGGAAAGGAAAAGGGAGGGAGAGAAGAAAAAGGGAGGGAAAAAAAAGTAGCAATTACTCATTTCAACAGGCTAGGTTAGGAAGGCACTTACTTAATTGTCTAGGCTAATAATTTCATTATAATGAAATTAGTATGCAGTATGACCCAATTCTACATAAAAAACAAAGCTAGGCACCTCCACATTCATACTACAGTGTCAAGAAAGGTGCAGAAGAATACAGTCCACTGCAGAGAGGAGGACAGGGGTGTGTAGCAGGGGCTCGGGGCCTGGCCGAGCCAGGGCGGCGGCATGGACAGGCCACCTCTGCACCTCTGCTTACAGGGCTGGTGCGTTGGTCTGCCTCCTCCTGTTCATCCTCAGAGTCGCTGGACGAGTCCCGGTGGCTGGCACCAGTGGGTGAGGCGGGGAGCTGGGAGAGGAAGGTCTGGAGAACACGCAGGTACACCAGCAGGCCGTCTTCCGAGAGCACCCCTTTGGGAGACAACCAGCAGGACACAGTTAGGGAGAGGCTACCTTAGAGGTGGAAGCCAGGTCTCATGTTCTTTATCTGCTCACACGTGTGAGCAGAGGACACTGCCTGTCAGTGTGACCGTGGTGTGTTCCGCGCTGCACTTGGTCTTCGCCTGGGATACCTCTAAGCCTTAGAACATCCTGAAAGCAAGGGTCTCAAGACTATTCTTGACATGCCCACCCGGGTTCTTGCTAGAAGTGATTGGCTGCTACCCAAAAATGTCCAGGACGAGCAGGCTTCAACTTTGAGCACACTCTGCAGTCTCTGAGGAAGGGAGGAAAAGAAGCCCCAAAAGCCCTGAGTGGCTGAGCACCAGCAGCTGGGGGTAATCAGAGAGGTGCGTGGGCCCCACGCTGTCCCTGAATCCCAAGGCATCTCACACCTGGCTGCAGGAGCCGCGGCCTCCGGAACCACCGTGGTGAACTACAGAGCCCAATACAGAGGCTGTGTGAACTCCAACATTTGGTACTTCGGTCAGAAAAGCACAGGTGACAATCTATGCAGCCAGCACCTAAGTCTCACGCCTTGTGAGATCTGACCCTTCCCAGAAAGCCAGCCTAAGCACTAAGCAAAGACATGCAGTGGTACCCACTGCTGAACTGCTGCAAGTGGGAAAAAACCGCCCTGGTCAGAGGTGGTAGTGCAGAGCAGGCAAACAACCTGGCTGCCCCTAGAGCTCACGTCTGCACATGCTAAAACAGCCTCCAGGAAGAGGAAACTCTGGAAGAGGCACACTGCAAGTATCCCGTTGCATCAGATGAGGACTCCGTTTCAATCTGCTAGCTTGCTCACTGTATCCTAAAACCTGGGCCTATGCCAGCCTTCCTCGCTGCTTGCCTGCAGCCTCCCAAATCAGTCCTTCAGCAAAGACACCCTCCCACAGGTACCCTGCAGCCCACCAGCCACGTCAGGCCTCCTCTGGGCTCCTCTGCTCAGGCTACCTATGTAGGAGTATAGACAAATTCTATCTTGAGGTTCGTACCCAAATAATTTTCGCCAACTGTTAAGACAAAATAGAAAAGCCATGGTGCGCCACTGCTCCTTTTTGAATATCTACTCTCCGGTAACAGTGCATTCAGAAAGGGCTCATAGGGGAAAACAGTGTGTACATCTGCTAACGCCGGAATGACAAAATGAAAAATCTGATCTGTGAAAGGTGCTGTCAGAAACTCTTCTGTGAAGGCGGAGAAAACTTGCTGCCTGGAAAACAAAGGTTAAGAAAGAATTAAAACATATCCTGCAGCGGGGCGCTGGGGGCTCACACCTGTCATCCTAGCTACAGGAGGCACAGAGCTGAGGGTCGGGTCGGAGTGCAGAGAGCCTGGGCAAGAAAGCCCCACCAGACTCTTTGCTCCAATTAACTACTCAGAAAAAGCTGGAAGAGGCGCTGTGGCTCAAGTAGTAGAGTGCTAGCCTTGAGCAAAAGAAGCTCAGGGACAGTGTTTAGGCCCTGAGTTCAAACCCCAGGACTGCATTCCACCGTCCCCCCCCCCCGCCCCCAATGCTTCTAAGTAGATCATTTACATCCATAAATTAAAGATTTTGCCATTTAACATATATTATAGCAACTAGAAACAAGATAATGTACTCTCAATTTAGTCTGATGATTAAATCTCAGTTTTATCTTTTTCTAGAAGGCAGTTATACCAAATTGGTGGATCTTGACAATCACCAAAAAATAATAAAAGCACGTCATTAGAATTACAAATTCAGATTTTCCTATGAAAATGCCACCTAATGAGGTGCAAATCTGAGGCTGGCCAGTCCCCCCTCACCCACCTCGTGCCTTCTGGACAGGAGTTGTACGTAAAGTGCAGTGGTTTGAGGACATTCTCCAGCAATGTTTTTGCGATAGGAACTCGAGATAAATCAGAATATTCAACACTTGATGGAAGCTTGCTGTTAATTAACAAGTAGAGAGACCTATAATATCCTAAAAGGAAGAAAAAAATGCCTTTTAAGTTTTTACAGCTTTTTCTTACTCTTTTAAACAAGCCTATCCTCCCCAGTCAACTTAAGTTTTTTTACAATCTTCTATAGGTCCAACTTTGGGTGGGTTCTTCTCTAAGGAAAGCTGGATGCTAAGAACTAAGGATCTGCCAGGCGTTGGCAGCCCATGCCTGTCATCCTAGCTACTCAGGAGGCTGAGATCTGAGGATCGCAGTTCAAAGCCAGCCAGGGTAGGAAAGTATAATAAAAACCGGAAGTGGCGTTGTGGCTCAAGCAGTAGAGTGCTTGCCTTGAGCTGAAAGACAGTACCCAGGCCCAGGGTTCCAGCCCCATGACCGACCAAAAGAAAAAAAGAAAGAAAGAAAGAACTAGTGACACATTAACTAATATGCCAATACTTAGCACCACGACCATCAACTCCAGCTAGCCTCGCCTCATTCATACAGAAGAAAACACAGGAAGTAATTAGTTTGGCATAAAACAATAAAGTCAGAACCCTTCTTTCTTTTTTTTAAATCAGTCACAGGGCCTGAACTCTGTCCCTCAGCTCTTCAGCTCAAGGCTAGCGCCCTACCACGTGAGCTACAGGGCTACTTCTGGCTCTTTCTGCTTATGTGGTGCTGAGGAATGGCACCCAGGGCCTCAGGCATGCAAGGCAAGCACTCCACCACTGAGCCACCTTCCCAGCCGCCAGAATCTTTCAAAAAGATCGTTATCAGCTGGATACCCATGTCTATAATCCTAGCTACTTGGGCAGAGCTCTGAGAATTGTTATTCAAAGCTAGCCAAGCAAGAAAAGCTCGTGAGACTTTGCTCTCCAATTAACCACTAAAAAAAGCCAGAGGTGAATTGTAGCCCACGTGGTTTGAGTAACAGAGCTCAGGGACAGTGGCCAGGTCAAGTTCAAACCTCAGGACTGGTGTGTGTGCACCTGAGCCCACATGGGTACACACACCCCGGTACAGTAATTCCTTCTATCACAACCCAGTGAGCAAGTGTCTATTCCAGCTAGTAACTGAACAGCGTGAGGGCCACACACAGTGCCCTGAACCTCACAAGCCGTGAGCAAGTGTCCATTCCAGCTAGTAACTGAACAAGAATGAGGCCCACACATGGTGCCTTGAACCTCTCGAGGCACCAAGCTCAATCCGTGCCAAGAGCTTCGTGAGCATCACACTGAGCTCCTGGGTCCACATTCTTGACATCCCTCCCACACTCAGCTCTCTCCTCACAAGTCTTCACCCTGCCCAGTGGCCACCACCAGCCCTGTGTCCCCACGCCATGCATGAAGTCTCACGTCTTGTTCTGAGTGTGGTCTGTCATCAGAGGGAACAACATGTGGAAACCACATCCTGGGTGTTATGGAAATCACTGATTTAAAAGTGACCCGTGGACAGCAGTCTGGAGGGTCCTCAGAAAGCTAAAGATTGACCTCCCTTACGACCCAGTCATACCACTTCTAGGCATCTACCCTGAACAACAGAAACCAATATACAAGG